AGGACATTAGAAGCCCTCCCACTGTTGCCCCCCCCCCAAGCACCAAGAAGACAGAGCATCACTTGCCCCAGAGCCCCTATCTATTCCTTGTGGCTCATAGCCACTGATGGACCTCTGCTCCACATGCCTATCTAATTCCCTTTTGAAGCCGTCCATGCTTGTAGTCGCCACCACTTCCTATGGTAGTGGTTGAAATGCCCCCTCTGCTATTAGTGTTGCCACCCCTCTGACAGGGGTGGGTTTCCCCTCAATTTCGGTCTCCCGATCGACCTCCGAAGACCTCCGTGGCTCCGACATGCCTGGTGCAATGATGTCACCCAGAGGTAGGCTTGCCAAGTCCCCCCGGGGGGTGGGGAAACCCCCGCCCGAGATGAGCTGTAATTCCAGGGGATCCCCAGGCCCCACCTGGAGGCTGGCATCCCCAAGAGCCAGCATGGTGTCTTGCTTAGAATGTCAGACTAGGTTCTGGGAGAGCCAGGTTGAAATGCCCCCTCTGCTATTAGTGTTGCCACCACCCCCGACGGGGTTGGGTTTCCCCCCGATTTCGGTCCCCCGATTGACCTCCGTGGCTCCGACATGCCTGGTGCAATGATGTCACCCAGAGGTGACGTCATTGCGCTGGGCACATTGCGGGTTGTCGCTCTAGCATCCAGCCCAAAACTCTATGGTGACCATAGAGTTTTTGGCCGAACGCTAGAGTGTCCCCCCGCAATGCGCTTAGCGCGATGACATCACTTCAGGGTGTGTGCACAAAGCATGCATGCAGGAACATCCAGGAGAGGAGCCAGTGAGTTTCTGCTACGGAAACTCACTGGGTGACCTGGGGCCAGTCCGATAAACCAGAGGAGGGGAGCACCAGGTGCGCTGCCCCGAGAGCATCGTCACACAGAGGTAAAGCCGTACCTGTTAAGTTTCCTTTTCCAACATATCTATTAATGGTGCAAGAGCACTGGGGGGTGGGGGGAGAAATGGCTCCCTAGGACCCTGCATTCTGCCCCGGAAGAGTGCTTCTGCTTCTGTTCCGCAGTGCTCTCGGTTTAATATATCTGTTTCTGTTTCCGTCACCACTTAGATGTCATGTTTCCAGGCCATGATGCCGCCTTCAGAGGGGATCTCGAGACCATACGATGCTTGCTGGAAAACCGAGTCATCAATATCAACGAGCGGGACGATAAGGGATCGACTCTCTTACACAAAGGTTAGGAAGACCCCCATTCCCCGTCACCGTTGCTTTTCTACCGGATCGTTCACTCTCATATTTTTTTAAAAGCGTCCCAAAATTAGCGGTATAGTACTTAGAAACAATTAGGACCAATCAAATTGTCATAAAGGACTGAGCCAGCGAAGGTTATGCCTTCCCTCTCTCTAATCATATTAAACCAACACCCCCTTCAGGTCCTTATTTCTGGAAGGCCACAAACTACAGAGTTGTGGCTTTCCTCTCATGATTTACTGTCAGGCCACCCCAGCACCAGAATCTTCATGGAAGGTAAGCTGTAAGCTGTGGCAGCCATTTTGTGGCTGCCTGCACCTCTTGCGGCAGCCATTTTGTGGCTGGGCCCATCACACTGTGTCAGAATTCCAAAGATGGCTCAAAAATGATGGTCACAGTCACTGAACAGACCGCAGAAAAGAAAGAAACTGTGAGATAACTGTGCTAGAAAATATTTCAATAACTATCACAAAATTATACAAAAAAGTGTACAGAAAATCATATAAATGCATGCAAAAAAGTGAATGAAAGCCTTACATACTGCGAGTAGGTATCAAACATTCCATTAATAATCATTGATGTATCATAATTTAATTGCAAGAAATTCTCTGAAAGAATGTTTCTGGGGCAAAGTGCTTGTATAATGTCTTATACCTTTGTCTTTGCCCCAGAAACATTCTTTCAGAGAATTTCTTGCAATTAAATTATGATACATCAATGATTATTAATGGAATGTTTGATACCTACTCGCAGTATGTAAGGCTTTCATTCACTTTTTTGCATGCATTTATATGATTTTCTGTACACTTTTTTGTATAATTTTGTGATAGTTATTGAAATATTTTCTAGCGCAGTTATCTCACAGTTTCTTTCTTTTTTGCGGAGAATTCCAAAGATACCTGCAGGCTTAAAAAGGTTGGGGTACGGTTGCCAAGTACCTACCTACGATCCGGCGGGGGACACATGCTTCCCCGCCGGAAGATTCTTGCTTGGAACACAGGCGCTGCACTATTCCGTCGCCCAGATGTGACGTGGGCACATAGCTGGGTGACGCTCTGGTAATAGGGCTGGAAACTCTATGGTACCTGTAGTTATACCTTTACCCTGCCTCTGGATCGGGCTCCGAATTTTAACACACACTTCTTTCTTTTGGCCAACTCACAACATAAAATTGGGAATCCTTAACACAATTACTTTCATAAATGTACTTAGTTCTATGTTCAATTTTGACTGCCATCTCAGTTTCGAACTGATTTACCCTCCGGTGCCATGGTTGCATTGCTAGATGTCCCCGAGAACTTCTTAATCACATTGAAGCAATTGAAAGGGTCATGTGTTAAGTTCTAACAAGAAAGAAACTCATTTTTCATGGCTTATTTTTTCCCCCCTTCAGCTGCCGGACAAGGTCATTTGAATCTGATAGAGTGGCTGATTGATAGAGAAGCAAATTGTAACATCACCAATGATGTGGGAGAGTCACCAAAAGATGTTGCCAGGAGGTAATGAGTGAGGTCAGCTGAGGTTACTGACCATTACAGATTTGGTCGGCTGTGCAGATTTTAAAAAAACATTTTGGCAGCAGTTGCCACCACAATACAAGGTTCTTCATGGTATAACTGAAGGCAAGCTGTGGCAGCCATTTTGTGGTGGGCTTTGCCTCCAGTGGCAGCCATTTTGTGGTGGGCTCCACCTTCTGTGGCAGCCATTTTGTGGTGGGAACTGTCTCCTGTGGCAGCCATTTAGTGGCAGCCATTTTGTGACTGTGCCCACCATGCTGTGTCAGAATATTTTGCTCTGAGCTCTTTTCCACTGAAAGAGACACTTTTCTAGATTAATTAGGGCCCCTGCCACACGGCAGGGAAAACACAGGGCAAAGTGCGGCTTTTAAATGCCGCACCAAAAAAGAGACGCCGCGGCGGGATCCCTCGATCCCCTGAGCCGCGGCGCCGTTGCTCCCCGGCACGATCAGATGCCAGGGAGGAAGAGATGAGTGGGAGGGGGAGGCTGCCAAACTGCGCATGCTTGAGCATGCGCAGTACGGCCGGGGGCCGGGGATGCGCTGGCGGAAAGACGCGCCGGCGATCCCACGGCCGGCAGTGATGCGGCCCTTCGGAAAGAACCACCTAGGTAGGTGGTTCTTTTTTGATGCGGGTTTTGGCCGGAAGGGGCGGATTGGGGACGGGCTGGGAACGGGCGCAGCACGATTCCCAGATGTTGCCGTGGGATTGCGCCCGTTTGATGCGGCCCCGATCCGTCCCTCTCCCGGCCCAAAATGCCTCGTGTGGACAGGGCCTAGGTTGAACAAACTTTTGCTGCCTTTCATTTCTAACAAAGTAGATGTGAATCTGTGTTCCCCACTTACTAAAGGTTTCTAATTGTAGGCATGGGGCGAAGAAAGATAATAGAGTGGACTTTTTCTTCTCCAATAATACTAGAATTCAGAGACAGACAGTAAAATTGCTAGACAGTTGATTCAGGCTGGACAAAAGGAAGTATTTACTTACTTATTTAAAGTTATACCTATACCCTGCCTCTTAGGGAACCCAAAATGGCTTATATGATTTCCTCTTGTCCATTTTATCCTCACAACAACCCTGTGAGGTAGGTTAGGCTTTTGTGTGGCTGGCCTTAGTTCTCTCAGCAAACTTCCATGGAAAAATGGAGATTCGAACCTGAGCCTAGTCGGAGATTTCTTCACTCAAAGAGTAATTGATCTATGGAATTCATTGCCACCAGATGTTGTGTTGGCCACCAGCTGAAATGGCTTTAAAGCTGAATTCGACTAATTCATGGAGGATCGGTCCATTGATGGCCTTTAGTTATGATAACTAAATGGAGACTCAATGTTCAGAGGCAGTATGCACAGGCTCGTAGCTACGGCAGGGCTTGGGGAGGGGCTCTGCCCCCTTTCTTAAAGGCACAGTCTCACAAGAATTTCTCCTGTAAATGCTTTTTGCAGTCATTTATAAACATTTTTTAAAAGGTGTGCACTCCTTTAAGCAGAGTGGGGTGCTGTAGTTGACTAATTCCCACACTGAGAAAGGGGGTTGGAGTAGGTGACCTCTAGGATCCCTTCTAACTCTATGTCAAGAAACTGGTCTCCTTTAAGAGAGTTTTTCTGCCTAAGTATTAGCTTTCTTGACTAGAGAAGTCATCACCCCCACCTGCTGGCTTGTTCTCAGAATTGTTGCTTAGGCTGGCAGAAGTGATTAACTTGCAGCAGCTGAGAACTGTAATCTAAAGTGGCTGACAGCTTGCAATGTAGAGATCTATCCTGGTAACCACTTTCTATTGGCTAAACGGCGTTTCTTTCTGCACTGAGAACTTCCACCCTACCAGGAAAAAATTTCCCCCACAAGCCACAAAATCCTGGCTATGGGCCTAAGTATGCACATAAATACCTTTCCCTATGAGGAAAGGTTAAAGCGCTTAGAGCTCTTTAGCTTGGAGAAACGACGACTGAGGGGTGACATGATTGAGGTTTATAAGATTTTGCGTGGGATAGAGCAGGTAGAGAAAGAGGTACTTTTCTCCCTTTCTCACAATACAAGAACTCGTGGGCACTCACTGAAATTGCTGAGCGGTCGGGTTAGAACGGATAAAAGGAAGTCCTTCTTCCCCCAAGGAGTGATTAATACATGGAATTCACTGCCACAGGAGGTGGCGGCGGCTACAAGCATGGACAGCTTCAAAAGGGAATTAGATAGGCATATGGAGCAGAGGTCCATCAGTGGTTATTAGCCACAAGGTATAGATATGAACTCTCAGGTTGGGGCAAAGGATGCTCTGTATTCTTGGTGCTTGGGGGGGGGGCAACAGTGGGAGGGCTTCTAATGTCCTGGCCCCACTGGTGGACCTCCTGAGGGCACCTGGTGTTTTTGGCCACTGTGTGACAGAGTGTTGGACTGGATGGGCCTTTGGCCTGATCCAACATTGGCGTCTCTGATGTTCTCATACCTTCTGGATGCCCTGCTTTCAACCTGGAGGCAACCAGTTTGCTGCCGTGGGCAACAGGATGTTGGACTAGTTGGACCCTCTGATCCAGCAGGGCTTTTCTTAGGTTCTTTCACTGGAGATCTTTTAGGTCCAAACTACATGTTACAATTATAATGCAACGTGTCTGTTTTCCTCCCACTTGACTTTGACTCAGACACATCATCTGCAAGGGAAGTCATTTCCTCATCTGGATCAGGCCCAAATTCAGGGGACCCGGCTTCACCCTCCACCTGTGCTATTTCCTTGACCTGAAATGTCTCCATGGGGGTGGGGGGGATTTGCATGGGCAGCCCATCGACACACACTAACGGACATTTGAACCGTGCAGGTTTGCCCAGCTGGCCGTTGTGGAGTTCCTGCGCGACAAAATGGGAAACGACTCCGACGAGGAGGTAGACGATAAAGAAAGGCGGTTCTTCGAGAGACACGCCGTGGAAGACAGCACAGACTGCAAGGGCGACGTGATCCTGGACAAGCAGGGCAAAGTAGATGCTCGCGGTGCGTTGGATACCTCCGCACATTTGGGAGGGAAGGGGGGTAATGCTAATTAATGGTATTGGTGTGACCGGTGTGAGTCCCCTCGGCAACGGTGTGTGGATAGATAGCCGTGTTGTCAAGTAGACCGATTACGCAGGGCTATTTTTGGGCAGGAACGCACAGGACCGGAGTTCCGGCTGGCTCCCGAGTTGGCCACGCCCAGCAGGAACTCATTAGCATATTAGGCCCCACCCCTGACAGCACAGCTCATTGGCACATTAGGCCACCCCCCCATGTTACCAGAAGTGTGCTCATCCAGCCACAACCACCTTTTGCTTCTTATTCTGTTTACCTTGTTTGTTGTCAAAACCCAGGGCCTTTTTTTGTAGCAGGAACGCCTTTGCATGTTAGGCCACACACCCCTAATGTAGCCAATCCTACTGAGTTTCTGCTGTTGGGTGTGGCCTATTATGCTAATGAGTTCCCGCTGCGCTTTTTCTACAAAAAGAGCCCTGCCGATTAGTATATTTTGTGGTCAAGGGAGTAGAATCGAAGACTAATCTTTGCAGCGGCTGATCTACTAAGACAAAGAGGGCATTTTGGATGCTCAAAAACTGAGAGTGTTCCTATAACATTATAGTTTCAGACGGGTAGCTGTGTTGGCCTGCAGTACATGAGCAAGATTTGAATCCAGTAGCGCCTGAAAGCCAGCGTGGTGTAGCGGTGTGAGGGGCTGGGTAGAAATCCAATCTCCTCCTCCTCCTTCTGTTGTGCCCACGGGCACCATGTTGGAGACCCCCTGGTCTAGGGGGAAAACATACTCAATCTACCAGGGACTCTTTTCCTGCTAGTGCCCCAAAGTACTTGGATCATTTAACTGAAATTTAAAGTGTTCCTGTCTCTCCGATGGGCATGCTAATAGGAAGGAGATGAGATTATCTTCCAGATTAAGGACTTCATTAGTTGTTGAATAAATCCATATTGCTAGGGATGCCTGCGGGTGGAAAGAAAGGCGAAATTGTTGTCCTAGAAACAGCGGTTGTTCATCGTGGGCTGGGCACGTGAAGTCCCAAAGAAGTCACTAGAAGAACCCTTGATTAGAGGGTGTGGTCGCTTTCTCATGGGAATAGGGTTGTCTCACTGGGAGATGCCCTTAACGGCATGTAGCCTCAATCGTGACTCTTTGGCTGAATACAAGATTGACTCCCTTTACACCCCTGACCTGCATATGTTTCTGGGATCTGGGGGAGCTCTGTGGACCACGGATCCTGGCAAGAAAGGGCTGTATGGATAACAGTATCTTGCTTTGGGCAACATAGTAAGTTTATCCAGCTATGGGTGCCAGTTGGGGTACCACAATATAGGACAGGAGTCCCCAATCCTTTTGAGCCAGCAGGGGCATCTTTGGAATCCTGACACGGGGTGGAGGGTGGAACCACAAAATGGCTGCCGCAGGAGGTGGAGCCAATGACAAAATGGCTGCCACAGGGGGCGGAGCAACTGCAAAATGTCAGGGAGTGAGGTTATGCATAACTCAGTAACCTTTCAACTTTTCAGGCAGAATCTTTATTTAACAGGATACCTTTTAAAATATCTTCTTGCATACGTACAGCTTAGCTGCATGATTGAAGGCAAGATCTTTGTGTTGTGGTAGCCACTGCCGCCGAAGCAACTTTAAAAATACCTGCACAGCCATTCAGAATGCCAACGGCCAATCAGAAGCTCTGCTGGGCACATGCCAGACATGGCCTCGCCTACTTTTTATAAACCCTGTGGGGGGGCACCAGGAATGGTGTCTACGGGTGCTGTGGGGCCCACGGCCACCACATTGGGGATCCCCAATATAGGGTCATCATTTAAAATAAGCCTTCAAGTGAACCGTCATGAATTTTGAAACTCTGGGGTTTCCACTGTTACATTTTGGGGAGACGACTCCTGGCAGTTGGCCCACGAAGCAATACAAAAGCTCAACAGAACCGTTTCCCCTCCCAGAAAGGGCGTACCAGAAGATCGAAGAGCTGAAGAGGCTCCTAGAAATCGCCACCAGCAATTTCAGGCAGCTGGGAGGAATAACCCCAGAAGACAGACAGCAGAAGAAAACCGAGAAAGAACTCGAAAAGTAAGAAACACTGTTAACGGCCAGACAATTCGACGAAACGTTGTGACCTCTGGGAATAACTAGGGCAGAGTGAGACGGCCGAGTCATACCAGTGACTGAGGCAGAAGGCAGTCGGTTGTTGGCATTCCGGCACCTTCTTTTCTGTGGAACACGGACCTTAAGGGTGCTGAAATGCTTTCAAATGCTGTAGGCCCAAAGGGGCAGTGAAGAGAGAGAAAAGGTGGGGAACAGGAAAGGGACATTAGACACGAGGGCCTGATTTACCAAGAGGCAGTCTAGGCGTGTGGCTTAGACCAGGGGTCCCCCCCAGCCATTTTAAGCTTGTGGGTCACCTTTGGGATTCTACCGTGAGCATCAGACCCCAAAGTATCAACAGTCAGGCAACTTGTACATGCAATGAACAATACTGAAATTTAAACTTCAATAAAAACTAAATATTTTTATATTTAGATATTTCCTGAGGAACAATTCCATTTGAAATGATGAAAATAATCAGGAAATGACATTGAATAGGATTTTTATTATGATATATTGTACACAGTGTTCCCTCTAAAGTGAGTTAGTGTGAGTTAGCTCACAGTTTTTTAGCCTCTGGCTCACACATTTTTGTCTCAGCTCAGGAAGGAGGGCTCCAGAGCAGACTAATCTATGCAGCAGCCAAATCACTTGCTCACAACTTTAATGCCAGCAGCTCACAAAGTGGAATTTTTGCTCACAAGACTCCACAATTTAGAGGGAGCATTGTTCTGTATACATTTCAGACATTGCTTACTGTATAAAAGATGTATTTCAAATAGACATTGTTCACTGCATATACAAGTTGCCTGACTATTGATACTTTTGGGGTCTGATGTTCACGGTGGTTTTCTGATTTTTTTCGCAACTCTAGACTGTGAGGTAGGTGGGGCTGAGAGAGCTCTGAGAGCTCTGCTCTTTCAAGAACAGCTCTGAAAGAACTTGTGACTAACCGAAGGTCATCCAGCAGCTGCAAATGGAGGAGTGGGGAAATCAAGCCCAGTTCTCCGCGCACTTAACCACTACACCAAACTGGCTCCTAAGTGAAACAGTGGGGGTAAAATACGATTGGAACTGTTTTGACAGTACCTGGGAGAAATCAGAGTGTCTCTTTAAAATGCACAAAAGCACAGCTGAGACGACAAACGGAAACAGTACGGCTGAAGTCCAGAGAGATTCGTATTCCGAGTCAATCTCTCCCTTCTCCACCCCTAGGGTTGTCAATCCCCAAGTCTGGGTGGGGAATCCCCCAGTTTCGGGGGCTTTTGCCCTCTGCCAGCCAGCTGGCCGGTGGGGGAACCTCACCCCCAACTCCAGCACACGTGCCAGGCCTCCTCCCCATTTTCTTCCACCAGTGCATGAGGTGCTGGCAGACCCGGAGGCCTGGCATGCGAGGGTCCCTAGCTCTGGATTGGGAAAGACCTGGAGATTTGGGGGGGGTGGAGCCTGGGGAGGGCGGGGTTTGGAGAGGGGAGGGACCCCAGCAGGATATGATGCCGTAGAACCCCTCCTCCAAAGCCCCCATCGGATCTTGGCTGTGGAGAGCAATAGTGGGAGATCTCCAGGTGCCGTCTGGAGGCTGGCGGACCCTATTGCAACAGGGGCATGCTGGGACAGAGAAGCAAAGGAAGATTTCCCTTTCCTTTGGCTCACCCTTCCTTAGAGGGGCAGGCTGGCAGGATGCATACGAGAGGACAACAGGTAAAGACTCTTTTGCAGATCTTGGGGAGGGGGGGAGGGGGGGAAATCCCTCACCATTTGTGCAGACCTGTTGGAGATACAGATGGGGCATTCACAGGCTTTAATCTTTACTGTTTTGCTGCCCTCTGCCGTCTGTTCTTTGCCATAGCTGTCCTTGCACACAATTCTTGGGTTACGAAGCGGCAGACAGGTTAGATTTAATTATACAAGTGCCTGAGCTGTTGCCCTTTTGAATGCTCCGGGTGAAACAAAACCCTCTTTAAAAAGTGAGCAAATCAGGGATTTCCGATCCCTTGATGTGCTACAGTTTCCTCCTGGTTTTTTTTTTAAAGGGGAGGGCATTCAAATATGGTTTGAAGTAGCCCATCCTGCTCCCCCACCACCGATGCTGCGACCGTATTCTTGTTCATACACAGCAGGGCTGCCGTTTGCCCGTAGGAGTGGTCAGTCTCCTGTCCCCGCCTTCATTCTCCCACCTGCACTAATATTATCAGCCAGAGGGAGGGAAAAACCCAGAAGTATGTACATATCAATAGTCAAGCTCTAGGATTTTGCCCCCAAGACCATAAAGATTGGGGGAATTCCTAGAGTGTCACCCAGGAGTGATGCCACCCCACAACTCTACCCTCCCCAGGATCTGCCCCAGAAGTCTCCCACCATTGGATAGAGCAGGGCTGGGAGGCCCGTAGCAAGAATTCTCAGGGCTGGTGAGGCTGCTATTATTTGCCATAATGAAGGAGGGTGGCACACACCACTCTCTTTTTTTCGTGGTAATTTTAAAATTTTTTATTAAACATACATAACATACAAACAAACACAAACAATATTAAACACAAACAGAAAACGGGAGCATCCGTTCATCCTTTGAGTAAAGAATTTGTTGTCCATACATCTCAGGTCATAAAACTTATTTCTACGCCATATGATACTATCCAAACTTTGCACAATATTTAATATAATGTTCTTATTAAGCTCTATTTTGGTTATATCACATTTCAATCATTCAGTTCTTCGAACCAGTGATAGAATCTTGACCACGTGTCTTCAAATTTGTCCTCCCTATGTCCTTTCAAGATTAAAGTTCATTTGTCCATTTCAGCAACTTCCAGTAATTTGTTTATTAGTTCTTCTTTTATTGGTATCTCCTCTCTTCTCCAATAACTCGCATACAATATTCTAGTGGGCATAACTATGTGTAGAATAAGATGAGAGTCCTGTTTTTTACATTTTTCTGGAAGCATATTCAGTAAAAAAAAAGTTCTGGTACAAATGGTACATTATTTTTTAATATTTTGGGGGCACATGACACTCTGCCTCCCCTCCTGCAGGATCTAAAGGGCCCTCCAGCTGACTGGCGGCCACGTGCTCCCCAACAATCAGCCGAAGGGCCCTTTTCAGGGGTGTCGAACTCGTTTGTCATGAGGGCCAGATCTGACATAAATGTCACTTTGTCGGGCCAGGCCCTGCGTGCCATAAAATGTAACACAAAGTACTAGAGAGTACTTTGTGTGACATGCGTGGCCTTGCCCGACAAAGTGACATTTGTGTCAGTTCCGGCCCTCATAACAAACGAGTTCGACATCCCTGCAAAATCTTGTAAGCGGTGAGGGAGAGGGGCGTGCGCCAACCCCCCGTTTCTTCTCAAAAGCATTTAAAAGATCCCTTTAAATGCTTTTTGGGAAGAAGTGGGGGGGGGCTTTAAGAAAGGGGGCTGACCCTTTAAGGAAGGAGGCAGGTCCCCCAATAGCCCCACTGTAGCTACAGGTCAGAGGGCCGGCAACCCTGATCAGGGGTCATTTCGTAGAAAAAATACGTAGAACAAAATAGTGTCCTCGCTCTGGAGGATTCATTAAAGATAAAGTAAATGGGACGCAAGCAAAAAACCCACACACCCCCACTTTGCCTTGGACAGAAAGGTCGGGGAGCTGCAGGATCAGCTGGAGTACGAACGGCTCCAGCGGGAGAAGCTGGAGGCCCAGCTGGACGAGTACCGGGAAGAGATTATGAAGCTCAAAGAGCAGCAGGGCAAAGAGCACGAGGAGAATCCCCCTGTTGCCGCAACCGCCGTCCCCGTGGTGAGTATCATGCATTCCTCACTCTTTCTTTAGAATGTGGGGAGGAAAGGTGCCGGCCCTTTATCAACACCGAGGGCATAACTGTATTTTTGGAACGTAGCCATGTTGGTCTGCAGTAGAAGAGTGAGATTCGAGTCCGGAGGCCCCTCAGAGGAGGAGGAGGAGAGGAGGATTCATTAAAGATAAAGTAAATGGGACGCAAGCAAAAAACCCACACACCCCCACTTTGCCTTGGACAGAAAGGTCGGGGAGCTGCAGGATCAGCTGGAGTACGAACGGCTCCAGCGGGAGAAGCTGGAGGCCCAGCTGGACGAGTACCGGGAAGAGATTATGAAGCTCAAAGAGCAGCAGGGCAAAGACCACGAGGAGAATCCCCCAGTTGCCGCAACCGCCGTCTCCGTGGTGAGTACCGTGCATTGCTCGCTCTTTCTTTAGAACGTGGGGAGGAAAGGCGCCGGCCCTTTATCAACACCAAGGGCATGGCTGTATTTTTGGAACGTAGCCCTGTTGGTCTGCAGTGGAACAGTGAGATTCGAGTCCGGAGGCCCCGAGGAGGAGGAGGAGGAG